CCTGAGTTTGATCCTCAGTACCACATTTAAAAAATGTAAAAATGTCTGTAGGATAGCAGGCAATGGCAGGAATCCAACAGTCATCAGCTCTCCTTTCAACTTGAGGGTTGAGTCTGGGTCCCTTAATTTTCTTGCACATCCTCACAGTACCTAGCACATAAAAAGTACTTCATAAATTAATGATCAGAATATGGAGCTCACAACCCAGTAACCTTAGGAGGGTACCTGTTTCTCCATTCACATTACTCTTAGTAAATCTGTCTGTCTGTCTCTGTCTGTCTGTCTGTCTATCTATCTATCTATCTATCTATCTATCTATCTATCTATCTATCTATCTTAAGTAAACAAGACATGATCTGTATCAAGGTCAAAGCCAAAGACATTGAAGAGAGGTCTCCAAACAACTATACTCAGGTGTTATCGGACAGATGTCTAATAACCAGGGTCCTCAAGAGAAGACTGTGGGATGAGGATAGTTTCCCAGAAAGGAACAGTAGAATTAGTACTGGCAGAATGAGTTCTTCCAGGATAAAATTGTGCGGGAGGGGAGTGGGGGACAGAAAACCATTTCATCAAGTGGGAAGTACATGACGTATTCTGGAATCGTGGGTAGTCTTATGACAGGAGTGATGGAAGATGTGATTCTAAAAACATGGCAGCTCTAGTCCCTCCACAGGAGTCCTGATATGAAGTTGTTCTGCATGGCAGCAAGTTTTTCTGTATACTGTTCAGTTGAGGTGGCATGGAGAAAAAGAGAATTACTGATTGTACTGATGGCAATGTGCAGGCAGGTAGCAAAGGGCATTCAGCCACTCCCAGGCATGGTCATTACTGCCAAGGGAACTGTGTAACTGGTATTAAAATAAAGGAGAAGCAGCCGGGCATGGTGGCATATGCTTGTAATCCAAGAACTTGAGAGGCTGAGGCAGGAAGGTACAAAGAGTCTGAAGCCAGTGGGGGGGAAGAAGGGAGAGGGAGGGAGAGAGAGAGGAGAAAGAAGAGAGAAGGGAGAGGAGGGGAGAGGAGAGGAGAGGAGAGGAGAGAAGAGGAGGGGAGAGGAGAGGAGGGGAGAGGAGAGGAGGGGAGAGGAGAGGGAAACAGAGACAGAGACAAAATACATGAATGTTGGGGAATCAGTTATGTTTATTACACCTTTAATTAAAGAAACACTTTGGGGTACAGAGAAATCTGCAAGATTTCAGAGGTGAACAGGCAGAATTTAGTGAAAATGGGTATAAGCAGGAGGAGCAAAGAGGGCTCCAAGATGCTGTGGCCAAATGAGTAGACTGAAAAGCAGGGTAATTGGGTTTTGTTGGCTGGGATGAGGTAGGGACAGTGGTGGGCATATGTGTGGCAATGAGCACTGTTTTGTATGTACTGAGCATTAAGGGATCCAAGCAGTATATACAGAGTTCTGCAAGTCTCTAGCTTTAAAGGTTATCCTCTACTTTGGGACTTACTTCAAAATAATCAGTGTGGGAGGTAGGCTCTAGATGAATCAAGACTGGTTATGAGTAGATAACTGAAGTGGGTGAAAAACTAAGTCAGCTCATACCAAGAAAGGTAAAAGCTGCCCTGTCATTTATTAGGCTGGGGGGACAGACACAGGTAGCATGAGCTACGTCACCATGTAATGGTACTTTCCCCAGGCACAGAGTAGCTGTAAAGTGTCATAATAACCCATTCTCTGTGTGACTACTTTCTCACTCACTGAGACCTTGTCCTCTAACATGAGCGACTATCAAAGGTGGCTGTTTGAAATTTTATCAGTTAAAATGAAACATTACAAGAGGACCTAAACCACTTTGAAACAAAGAAGTATCTTCACTTTCAACTCAGTTCAGAGCCTTGGCGAAGGGTTTTCATGACACAACATTCCACTTTTCAGTTTTCTGAGACAGGGTCCCACCCTATAGTTCAGGCTGGCTTTGAACTCACAATGTAACCCAGGCTGACTTCAAACTCAGTGATTCTCCTGCTTTAGCCTCCCATCCCAAAGTTCTGGGATTATATGTATGTGCCACCACACCTGGCCCAATATCCAACCTTTGTCTTAATTTTGTACTTTCTAAGGAAATTAACCTAGGTCTGAGCTATAATGTGGGTTTTGGAGATACATGAATTCCTCAATTGCTGCATAGGATTTGTTTTCCACAAAGCTAAGTTTTTAAAAAAGGCTTCATTCCATGCTAACACTAAGAACAAGACAGTAGCTGAGATTTGTGCAAGGCACAATGATAGCCCTTCCCTATTTAAGATGTCTATGTCTCAGTCCCTGAAACCTTCAAAGACCATTGCCTTGCACAATAAAAGGGGCTTCCCAGATACATTTAAGGCTAAAGAACCTGAGATGGGAGGAAGGATCAGACTGAATTATTCAGGAGAACCCATGCTTTCATGTGGGTCTCTAAAAACCAAGAAACTTTTTCCAGAGAAACTTTTCTTTTGAAGACCAATGGGTCTAAGGAACATAACTTCTAGGGGTAGGAAAGGCAAAGACATGGATTCTCCTCAGCTCTGTAGATAACTTGATTTGGGCACAGCGAGATCCATGTCAGAGTTCCGACCTACAGAAAGATAATAGACCGTATTACTTTCTGCCACTCTATTTGTGGTGATTTGATATAACAAGAGAAAATGAATACAATATCACTGTTACGGATTGGACCTAAAAGGTCCCCCCAAATGCTCACATGCTAGTTAAAGCTTGTCCCAGATGCATCAGTGAATGTTCAGAGGTGGGGCTTTGGAAGATGATAGGATCAGAAGGGCTCTGGCCTCATCAGTGTAGTAACCCATGAGTGCTAATAAGTAACAGGCTGTTATGAGGTGAGTCCTGGCATGAGGAAGCAGACTGTTACAAGAAGGGCCCTAAAGGCTCCATCCTGCCTATCACCTCTTTTTCTGGCTTCTTGGCTGCCAGGTGGTGGACAGTCTTCCTCTACCACGTGCTTCTTCCCTGATGTTCTACCTCCTTGCAGGCTCAAACAATGGAATGAAGTAACCAGGGACCCAAACCGGGAACCAAAATAAACCTTTCCTTCTTTTCAATTGTTTCTCTTAGGTATTTTGTGGCATTGACAGACAGGTGACACAATTACCCAGAGGTATTAGTACTAAAGACAGAAATGAGCCAAGGATGCCAGGGGTTCCAGCACAAAACGAGAGGAGAAAACGATGTCAGCCCAGGAGACAGGGAAGGCGGCACCAGGTGGTGAAGATCTAGGAAGAAAGTGGGCCAGAGAACTTCAAGTGATCCCCAATTAAAGGCTAAAGAAGGTTAAACACGATCTACATTTCAAAATGCAGGTTATTTTTGTTTCATTTTCTCCAGTGAGTCTAGCATTTGCATTCAACAGCCTCTTTCACTGAAACTATCACCTTTACCCACACTTAGAACTTTCATAACCTTGATCTATGTCATAAACCCATGAAGGTGATGTTCAGGTTCTAGAACAGCAGGTTTTGCCACATCATAAACCAGAAAGACATGCAGCTATTTTTATGTGTTAATCCATGTTGCTTGACTCTGGGGTACCAGGGCTGGCCTGACAAGAGTCGAGACCACTGTAAGCAAAACTCGTTACAGAGATTGTCCTTTCTAGGGTAACTTCCAGTCACGAGGGTCCTTTTAATCTCCCAGGGGCCCAAAGGTTTAAGCCTGAGGCCCTAATCCCCATTTAAAGGCTTCACTTATGGTTCAAAATTACTGCTCCTTATTAAAATGTTGCTCTTTGCAGATGATCTCAGCAACCAGTTTGCAACATGTGAACTATTTCAGAGGTGAGAGTGCAGTTGGCTTTGTTAAACCACATGTGATTGGGGCTGGGAAGATGGCTCAGTGGAATAAGCGCTTTCCTGGCAAGCGCAAGGGCCTGAGTTCAAAAATAAACCACACGTGATGATGCACACCTATAATCCCAGCACTAGGAGGCTGAGGCAGGAGAATTGCTGAATTTAAGGCCAGCTTGAGCTACACAGTGAGTTCAAGCCAGCCTGAACTACCAAGCAAGACCTTGTCTTAAAAAAAAAAAAAAAGAATCTATTTTATCTATCTATAGATAGATAAGATATAGATAGAAAGAAATGCTGACTTTATACATTTTCAGGCTTTCAGAATGAAAATGTGAGAGGAGCATATTCTAAAATTATAAATTTACCATCGGCACCTGCTTTCACAACCTGGGCCTAACACTTCATTTTCCTATGAGGGCGATGCCTGAATGTGTTACCCCATTTATTCTTCAGAATTGAGTATAGCTGTCATTTTCTTGATGTGTGTGGGGAAAGTGTTCCAGGTTATACTGCCTCCTTCTGTTACACACCTTCTGTCCCCCTGTAGTTCTTTGGAAATGTGGACACCTGCAACTTGTTTGGTGTCTTATCCCCCTGTCCAAGAGATGACAAGTTCTAACAGAGGAAAAGGCCAGCCTTTTGTCAGGAGGAGGAAGGGGTAAGAGGAGGAGAGAGGAGAGGGGCAGTAGAAAGGGAGAAATATCCATATCTCATACCTGGGAAGGGATGTATCAGAATATATAAAGAACTCTTGTAATTCAACAATAAAAAGACAAATACCCCAAATGAAAAAAGGGGCAAAGGTGTTAACATGTACTTTCTCAAAGTACACAAAAGGTCAATAAGTACATAAACATGTTCAACATTATTCCCCATCAAAAGAATGTATATCAAAATCACAATGAGATACAATGCCACACCCATTAGAATAGCTGGAATAAAATACTGATACATATTATAACCTAGATGAAGCTGAAGGATATTATGCTAAATAGGCCAGTCAGGGGCTGGGGAGATAGCTCAGTAGAGTAAGCACTTGCCTGGCAAGTACAGGGTCTTGAGTTCAATCCCCAGGACTACACACAAAGTCAGTCATAAAAGACAGGATACTATACAATTCTGTTTATATGAAATGCACAGATTAGGTAAATCTATATAGAGAAATTAGATTTATTGTTGTATACTATGGCTGAGAGTAGGGGGAAGGAAGGACATGTGGTTTTTTTAGGAGTGATGTGAATGTTCTAAAATTTTATGTAGGTTGTAAAACCCAGCAACTATACTAAAAACCATAGGATTGTATACTTTAAATGAATACATTAGTGTGGCATATGAATTATATATCAATAAAGTCATAAATTTTAAGTGGGAAAAAATTGAACTTTTCCCAAACTTTACCTATTTGTTAGAAAGTAGTCTCACACTATTTTTCCAAAGCATGAAGGAGAGAAACGTATTTCTTCTGTCTTCTAGTGCATACTGAGTCCCAACTTCATTTTCCCATGTGCCTGTGGAGTTGTCAAGGGCTCAGTGTAGAAAAACCCCTCCTGGTGAAGAATGGGCCTGTGGGCTTCCTGCAAGGGTGCACTTTAGTTCTATGAACCCAGGTACTTTTCCTCCTTAACAACAAATTCTCCTTGAAGCTTGACAAGCAGCACAAAAATTATTTTCTTCCTTTCTTGCAGAAATATTCACTCCATAAAGGTAACCTGAAATTCACTGGGTAAAGTCAGAGTGCTAGAATGGCCAACACTAAGAGTCAGATGCTAAACGTTTAGGCTCTTAATGATCTCTCCCATTCTTTTGGCCTGCCTCTTCAGCTCCAGAGCAAAAGACTGAACTCTTCATTTGTATCCCCTGTACCACTTCCTGGAGGTTGGCTCACCTTCCCAGTTCTAAGGGCTCACACTTGCATGCCTGCCCACTCCTGAACTGCTTTAGCTTCCTCCTTCATGCATGGCAGGGCTTGGTTCAGAGTGCTGGGAGCAATTCCTGCCCTGGCAGGTCAGAGGGAACAGGGGAACACATGGGCTATCAGGTTGGTAAAGGACTCCAAAGCAAGAAGGGTGCAGACTTTTCTCAGATGAAAATTCCTAGTCTATGGCCAATAGCTACATCCTGAAATAAATCAACAACTAAATTCAAAAAAATGAGGAAAATTTAAGACAGTTTTATTTTCAAAGTCCTTGACATATATAATGTAAAAAGACAATAGCAAAGTCTAAAAATAGCAGGAACTATCCGCCTGAGTGTCAGAGTACTTTAAGGAAAAGAGGAAGAGGACGGGAAGGTGGGTGGAACACTCAACATTTTCTAGCTTCAGAACGCAGAGAGCCCAAATCACAGCTAGAACATCCTACTGCTGGTTACAGATTCTTTACAAAGGTGTCTACCTGCAGGAAAGAGAAAATTCAGGTTAAATTTCATGTTTTCAGCAGATAAATCATTGGTTCATCCATGCCATGATGTATATACGTCCAGTCCCAAGAGCTTTTGTGAGGCAGGGAAAATGGGCTGGAGAAGAACTGTGAACTGTCTGGAGTCAGATAGTACCAAGTAGCAGAGCTGGAAAAAGAATCCAGAAGTCTCATTTCCCTAATTTTAGAATACGTTAGAGGAGGAAGTCAGCTGGCAACCACATGTTACAAGCCAATTATTCAAGATTATTAATTCAACATACTTTAGAAAATAGGGATTATATTTGTAACTTAAAAAACATCTCACAGGCTTTGGAGTGTGAAATGCAATTTGAGATGCAGAACACAAGACCTAATACACTGAACATGGAAAGCAAGGGCCAGAGAGATAAAAGTACAACAGAGGAACTAGAAAGCAGGAGCTAAGGTTCTTTCCACCTTTCTGATGAGTTCTTCTTGTCTGGTTACTTCTTCAGCAAAGTCATCATTGACATCCAACACCAACACTGGGATGTTCTGCAGAGCTTCAAAGTGGAGTCTGCAAGAATTATAAACATTTGGGTAATGAGAAAATAAATTTGAGCCACATTTTACATATTCATCAAATTTTAGTAATTCTAAGAACAAATCTCAATTGATGTGATTTCTCAATGAAATTACATAAGAATCTAAAAAAATCAATAAAGTTCTCTTCAAAGAGGAAGGATGAACAAAGAGAGCTTGAGATTTTTCTTCAGTTGAGACTGATATTAAAGGTCAGTGCTCTAAACATTTTTAAGTGATGACATACCAAACCTGAAGAAAGGGCAGGAAGCAACTAGAGACATCAACTTAGTAAAGCTGATGTTCTCCAAAAGTTTACCCTTCATTATAAGCCAACTATTGCAATCATCAATCATGATGTTCAATATAAGGAAATTTACAAAAAGGCTAGCGAAATAGAATCTAATATTTAGTATAACATTTCTGAATTGGAAAATGTTGTATATTCCCAACCATGTCCTTCCAGAGCTGCATAGTGAACCTCTCATTTTGAACTGGGAAGCAGATCTCTAATACTGCTATTTTCCACTTACTTGGTTGACTTGTGAACAAGCCAAGCTTCGTGCTGATCATGAAGCTGCTCCAGATAGGCCAGTTCAATTCCTTTCTCTTCCTTCCTGGCTCTCTGGTACAATCTCTTCAAACAGATCTAAAAAATAATCAATTCCCAGACTTCACTGAGTTCATATGCTGTTCTGGCTGTCACAGTGCAGTCTTGGAGCAGGGATCGGGACTTAAACCTGCCCTTCCTTGGAGTATCCTTAGCTGGTCAGTGGCAGACACCACTCACCCTATCAACCAAGCTAGGGCCCTGGAAGTTGTCTTTCTTCTCTTCCCAATCGCAGCAGTCACAGAACTCAATCCCTTTGGTTGGTTCTCTCCTTATTTCTTCTCTCAACCTGCCCTAATCAGGTGCTCACCACCTCACACCTTGGCCTATGGCAAGGACTTTTGACTGTGTTCAAGAGGTGAAGTGTTTGGAAAGAGGACAGGAAAGCCCAGTGGTTAATCAGTCTTTATTGTGTACTAGTGGTGTGATCTTGGTGAGTTTCCATTCCCACCACAACCCACTCCACAGGTCCTGGGAGGTTTTGCTGAGATAAGGCAAGAAAAAGAAAACACTTGGCAAAAACTGTTGTTTCCTTTCAGTTTGTCCCTTCAGCCTGCTTTCCACAGTGCTGCATTACTTTCTCTGCTTAAAGTACTTCACAGGTTTCCTATGTTTAACCACAAGTTCAAGAAAATATAAGGCATTATATTTATAAAATGGTAAGTAATTTGAAACACCTTTCATATCATATGAGATCCTCACTCTGGACTAGAATGTGAAATCTAAATGGGCCCGAGATCAAGAAGCGAGGGGGAAAAGTGAGCCCACTTTGCAGTGTGTGCATAATTCTCTTCTCCTATGTGGGACAGTTGGAAGCACACTGACTCAGAGGTGATGTTCCCTTCTTTACCTGTCACACAGCCTGTCTCTCCGATGTCTCCTCAGTGTCCTTAGATCTTCTCCTGGCCTAACTCCTTCAGTCACATTTGACCTCCTACCTTGGCCTGTGGATAGGCTAACCTCCTTCACACCTCAGAAATTTTGTTCCAAATATTTTTTCAGCTTGAATTGCCCTCGATCCTCTCTGCTGGGGAAAACATTTCATTATTCAATGTCACCTGTTTTGGAAATATAGATGGCTTTATCCACTGACTTAGGGCTTCCCTCTTTCACATACCTTAAAAGTGAACTTTATTCTCTAATATACTACAAAGTATTTCCAAAAACATTAGGGCTTCATTGTTTCCATCTCACCTTTCTCTAAGGAGATGAAATCATGTAAGCAAATTTCATAGGACTTTATGTGCAGCTTTTCCAACTGAGGAACATAGACAAGTCTTGTGGGTTAATAGTTTTAGTATTTTTCATGTCTCTGCCTTTCTTCTGATCAATAAATAATTACCCCAACTCAGATACAGTCCCTGTGCTTTCAATTTTATAATGTAGATGATAAATAAAACATATGCAAAATAGCAAATTAAGTGCTAAACCGTATGTGCAGCTGTTCAGATGAAGGAGGGGGTGACAGGCTCTCTGGAGAGGCAGCATGTGCTGCAATTCCTATCTCTGCAGAGCTCTCCTTTACCTTAGGCCTCAGCTCACTGGGCACCTCTCTGGGAGGCAAGTGCTTGCAGGTCCTGAGAAAACAGACCACTGATGGTTTTCCAGATGAAACAGAGGACCTAGAAGGGTCTGCATAGGCTACTAGGAAGGCACAGCAATGTGTACTCCTCTACCATTTTTTTTTTTTTTTGCGAAAGCAGGGATTGAATTCAGGCTTGCACTTATTCTACTGAGCTATTTCCCCATGCCCTAGTATCTTTTTTTTCAAACGTATTTTACGTTGTGGAGGAAGACCAGGGATATGGCTCAGGTACAGCACCTGCCTGGCAAGCACAAGGTCCTCTGAGTTCAATTCCTGCTGCAAAAAACCAAAACAAAACAAAACACCAAAAAACATTTAAACGTATTTTTTTAAAACATATTTTTAAAAGTATAGGGTCTTACTACACAGTTCAGACTTGGGGGTGGGGCCAGCATGGCATGTGGTGCTGAGGATTGAACCCAGGTCCCTGCACTTGCCTAAGCAGGCACTAAGCCCAGTAAGCCATCTTGCCAGCCTCCTCTAACATTTTCATTTCTCTTTTTTTGTTTTTGTTTTTGTTTTTTGGCGGAACTGCGGATTGAACTTAGGCCCTTGTGCTTGCCAGGGAAGTGCTTATTCCACTGAGCCATCTCCCCCGCCCAACGTTTTCATTTCTGATATCTTGTCTTTCCATGTTCATCTATCTTTACTTATTTTCATTTGCTACCTTTCTTCACTCTGAGCCTGCCTCTTCTTTCCCTCTGTCTTTATACCCCTGCATCCCCATCCTCACTGCTGATGGTTTTGAGACCTTTCCCCCTTGTCCTCTCCTTCTCTAATCATAGCTTTTCACTAGATCCCTGGCTTCCAGCTACCCACCTGTCTTCCTCCACAACTTTTTATATACCTTCAGAAGTAATTTTTGTACACACACACACACACACACACACACACACACACACTTTTATTTTTCTACTCAGCACACGAGAGGCTGAGGTAGGAAGACTGTAGTAGTTCATTATCACCTAGCCTATATGGTGAGTTCAAGGCTAGCTTAAATTGCATAGTAAGAACTGTTTCCAAAAAGAGAGGGCAGGAGGGAGGGAGACAGGAAAAGAGGAGAGGGGAGATGGAGAAGACAGGTAGAGATTGAGATGGAGATCTAGATTGACCACATGCTCTGCACTTGTTTTTATTCACTTAAGAATAATCTTAGGGGCCAGGGATATGGCTCAGGGGTACAGCACCTGCCTGGCAAGCACAAGGTCCCCTGAGTTCAATTCCTGCTGAACAACAACAACAAAAAGAATATGTCTTAGATATTGCTATATATCAATACAGAAAGAACTTTTTTATTCTCTTTTATAGTTTCCAAGCTTTTTAGTTTATGGTCAGAGCATAATATATTCAATAGCCCTTACTAATGAACCCTTGGGTTGTTTCCACTAATCTACTATTACAAAAAATGTTGCCTTGTACACAGGCTATTTTGCACATGTGTGAGTGTATCAATTATCATGGAGTAATTTTGTTCTGAGACACCGCACTATGTAGCCTCAGGCTGACCACAAACTCACAGCAATACTCCTGCCTCAGCCTCCTGACTGCTTGGATTACAGGCATGAGCCACAATACCTGCCTCTCAATGGAGTGAGCTGCAAGTACTATAATTAATAGGTAAAAGACGTTAGCACTACACATTATACACTGTCAAAACTGCCTCCTCAGAGGCTAGCAAGCAAGTAGTTAGGATTTCCAAACATGGCAAAGCTACCTAATTTTCCTCTTGGAGAGAAAAATACTATCTGAACTAGTTAAAATAAGCACTTTTTACAATATAGCTTTGTTTTTCAAGCACACATAAGGATAGAGCAATTTTACACTGATTAAAAAATGTGGGGCTGGGGAGATGGCTCAGCAGAATAAGCACTTGCCTGGCAAGTGTAAGGACCTGAGTTCAATCCCCAGTTCCACCAAAAAAAAAAAAAAAAAAAAGTGCACGGTTGTACTATTAATTTAACAGAGCAACCCCCCCTCCAACTAGGTAAACTATTTTGAGCATTTGGCAAAATTCTTAACTTTATTGGCATAGCTATGACAAATTTTTTAAAAAGACCCTATGCAAGCAGTGCTTTAGCCTGGCCCCATTTCACTTTGTTCCTCATAAGGAAGATACACCTGGGTGTGAAAAGGACAGCCAGAGTAGGTACAAATGGCAGGGGAGGTGCCACGCGGCTGTCTCTTGAGTGTTGGGATTACAAGCGTGGGCCACCATGCCTGGCTCCTTTTACTAGTTTTGAAGCTGCAGGCTGGTTCACTGTTTAGAATTCAGGAGGCAACCAGTGGAGAGGAGCCAAGGGCTCTCCTAAGATCCTTTTCACATAAGTCTAGACTTACTATTTGCCAGGGCTCTGTGCTGGAATATCAGGCACTGATGTTTTGTGCAGAGGTGTTTCAACTTCTATTCTCTTCCTCCTTTGGGATGGTTACCCCTGAATCTCAAAGAAGAGTTTCTATGCCACTTCAGGGAAGGATATGGGAATTTTCAGGTCTAATGCCATCAAAATAGCAGAAAAATCCTCAATTAATCCCACAGCGAATCAACTGTTTTTCTTTTCTGCCATTAAGTTGCAATAATCCTCAACCCCTTTCTTTTTCTACCAGCTGAAAGACTTCAGTTAGTCTCTCAAGAAGACACACCAGTCCAGTAACGGTCCTCCTTTTCTTCTTCACCATCCCACTCCCTTCTCATCAATCACGTGATTGGCACAAATAAAAGTGAGGTACACTTGCTTGCTTGCCTCTGGGTCCCAGCTTGAGCCCCAGAAACAAGAGCCTGTGAGTGAGCTGTCTACACAGCCCTGCTTTGCTGTCAGTACCGATTTAGCTCACCTTTTCCTTGGTTCCTCCCAGCATGGTTTTCCTGGTACCAACCTGGGGCTAAATTCTGTCTCTAGGAACAGGTTAGGTCAGCACTCTCTCACTCTCTCAATGGGAATCTACATTTTCTATTAAACATATATTAGTACACATTTGCAGTATGAGTGGAGTTGATACACATATACAACACATCTTAGGTTTTTTTTTTTAATCCCCTTTCCCCCTCCTTCTCTTGATCCCTTTCTCATTTGAGAAAGATCTATTTCCCTACTGCTACCTCCTATTATGTCTTTTATTTTGCTCTTTACTTACAATACATATTTGTTACATAAGAGAAACCATGCAATATTTAAGCTTGTGTCTGATTTATTTCACTTAATATTACGGTCTCAAGTATATCCATTTTGCTATAAATGATTCGTTTATCTTTATGGGAGAGTAGTACTCCATTGTGTGTAAATACTGTCCCTTCTCCTAAGGCTTATCTTGCACTGTCTTACTTCTTTCATCCAGCCATTCCATGATTCCTGCTAGAAACCTGTCATCTCTTCAAATTCCAACGCAAGCCATCTCTCTGTTCAGTTCCACAGCACTCTTTCTCCTTCATGGTCCTGGCCCTAAGTCTTCTTGAGAGCAGGCTTTCTCTCTAACCCTGCCCCTACCCCTACTCTCAGGTACTTCAAGCTGTCTTCTCTGGTAGAGGACCCCTCTTTCTCCCATCACTGACACCAATCCCTTTCCCTAAAGTACAATCACCTCAATTTTTGCCTCTCCTATTCTTAATCCCCCAAAATAAAGCCCCTTGAAAAAAGTCTCATAAATGTGACCTAGCCAGTCAACTTGCAATGAATACACCCACCTGGAACTATGTTCTCTTCATGGAACCTTTTCAGTTCTCTGGCCTCACTGAACCTCTAGTTTATTTATTTTTGAGCAGAATATATTTATTCAGAGAAAGAAAGCTCCTGTCCAAGAGAGGGACAGGAGGGGGGCCCGAGCGGGTAGTTCCCCCCGAACCTCTAGTTTAGTGTTACAGTTTAGATCAAGAATGGTCCCGACTGGGGCCAGGGAGATGGCTCAGTGAATGAAATAAGTGTTTGCCTGGCAAGCGCAAGGGCCTGAGTTTAATCCCTGGTTCCACCAAAAAAAAAAAAAAAAAAAAAAAAAATTCCGAAAATTCTCATTTGCTCAGAGATGGGGATTTTGGAAAGTGAGTGGATTATAGGGGCACTAGAGATAACCTGGTGTAGGGAGTGGGGCCCTAGTGAGGGTCAATGGACACAGGACCTGGACGGTTATATTTTCCTCCAGGATGCTTCCTTTGGCTCTGCTTCTTGGCTACCATGGTATCAGTACCCTTTCCTCTGCTATGCCAGTCAACCATGAACTAAAATTCTAACAAAAATCAACTCTTTAAGTGATAGGTATAGAGTACTATGTAACAGAAACAAAAAGATGACTAACATATTTAGTTTCATCTTAAACATTAAACTTTATTTCCGTTTATGACTTAATTTCCATGTCATAATCCCCCAGAAAAATCCCAATACAGAGATGCCCAATATCTGGCTCCAACAGGACCTTCAATGACCATACCAAAGGAAGGAAGAGGCCACTGGCTGCAGGTCAGAGCAACTGAGATCCTGGAATGAAACTGTCTCAGTGATATTTGTTTCTCAATAAAATTATTAAAAAAAAAGAGTGATGCTGGAATGATGGCAATGATGCCCAATCTGTTCTGGCTTGTTGCTCCACCAAGAGAAAGACACTTCTACACACAATCAATTGCTCAAGTATGCTGCAGCAGGTAGGACATGGAGTGCTCACTGCTAGCGCAGAGGTGTCTCCCACAGCTTTCTGCATTCTGTTAATGTCTGACTCTTAACTCCTCAAAATGAGGGGCTTGCAGAATGTTTCTTAAAGGATTTCCTATTGTCTTAAAAGGATTTTCCTAGGGTCTAAGCCTATAGGTTGGGAGTTACCTGGGGAGCAGCTTGTAGGTAGATGATGCCATGTAGGGAGAGCCGGTTGGCAAACTCTCGAAGGAGAAAAGAATTCCAGTCCTGATAGATATGCCATTCAACATCACTGAGGGAGCCATTTTCAAAAAGATTCTTTGCAAAGATGTACCTGGTTGAAAACGTAAGCGGGATGGGGTAGGAGTGGAGAGGACAGAGGAAGAATGGGAAATGGAATGAAAGGCACAAGAGAGAGAGAAAAACAGAAAAATCAATAACCAACTTGTTCCTTGTTTGTTCCAACCACTTAACCTTTCTAGCTCATCAATCCTTAAGCAATCTGAACTCTTAACTCACAGCACCTTCCCTGCTCAACAGTTTGATGGGAAATTGCACCCGGATGGAGTAGTTCACCAGGGGGGGAAAAAGAAAGTCACTGGGAGATTTGGTCCCAGACAAGTTCCCCTCCTGAAAACCAGTTGCAGGATACAGCAGAGGGTGCATATAAATTTGAATTTTTGGGATCTGATTATTTCAGCAAGGCCCCAAACATCAAGTATAAAACCACCTACAATATTTCACTTAAGTATTGAGAGCTTCTAAGTCTCCAAGCATCCTTTTCTCTATCTAAGAAGTGGACAGGCAACTGTCTTTATGTGGTGTCATTTATGGAGCAGGAAATGCATTTCCCAATGACCTCAGTGTTACCAAGAAGGCAGACTATGCTCCAAAGCTTTTACAGCTTGCTCCTGCTGCTGCTCAGCTTCCAAGTCAGATAAAAGAAAGCAAAAGGTAAAGATCAAACCTTCTTTTCTCCTTGCTTACTTCTACAACAAAAGGAAGATCTGATGAATAGGAAATCAGAGCTAAACAGAAACCATGACTTCAGAGGGTCAAGTCTGCTTTCAAACTTCAGGTATCTTGATACAAAACAGCAGTTCCCATCTTTGACAGTGGCCTCCAGTTTCTAAGGCAACAGTCAGCAACTGGCCACTTCTAGGAAAATGAAATTCAGAATCCTTGTGTAGGAATCGATCAGAGAAGGACAGACTGAAGGCTATGGGTGCCACCCTTGTGAGAAGGTCTCAGTGTAACTCTGTAGGATCTAATCCTGACTCCAACGTTCATGAGCCATATCACCTTAAAAAGTCACCTGAGCTCTCTCAGCCCATTGTCTTTGTTTTTATTTATTTATTTATTTTTGCAGAACCGGAGATTGAACTCAGGCCCTTGAGCTTACCAGGCAAGCACTTAAGTCTACTGAGCCAACTCCCTGGCCGGCCCATTGTCTTAACTGCATGCTGCACTCATAAAGTCCTTGGAAGAGTGTTCTGGCTTATATCTAAATGTCCTCCCTAAAGTCTCATTTGCTAATAAGTTGGGCTTTTAATGGGGGTGACCAGATCATGGATGTGTGACGCTCGATTAGTCCACTGATGGGTCTATATTTGGGCGTGATGCTGGGAGGTGAAGCCTGGTGGGAAGAGGTGGGTCACTGTGGGTGTGGCTTGAAATATATACTAGTAAAATTAGTTAAGTCCTATAAAAAGGGCCTTTCTGCCCCCCAGAATGAGCACTTCACTTACTATCCCAAAAGCTAAAGTGCCAAGTACTAATGGGAAGGGAGCTGCTACACGCGCATGCAGGTGCTGTGGAGAACAAGGCTAAGTACCTAACAGCTGGGGCCTCTGCTCTAGAAGCAACCACTAGCTTTCTCATTAACTCAGTACAAAAAGTCTTAGATTTCCTCAGTCTTGCACTCCCATCTCCCAAATAAGCCAAGCTCTTCTTGTGGGACACAGACCACACTACATAAGCATGAGTCTAATCCCTGCTTCACTGTGATATTGGATTTAAGACCAGGAATGGTGCCCACTCAACTGTGATATTTAAGACCAGGAATAAATCTGCCTTCTCTGTTGTAGCCCCAGGTTCAAGCCTAATGCCCAAAAGAAGCATTCAATAAATCCGTGCTAAGCAAACAAAGAAAAGGGTGCTTCCCCTGTCCCGACCACCCCCACGTTGTGCCACTGAGATATAACTCCAGCCCCTAGAATGAATTTTTAAAATAAAAGGTCTTAATTACCCACCAAGATTAGAACTTGTGATTAGTTATCCTTTTTATCTCAAAAGTGTCCTTTCTGATGAAAGCACGCAAAATACTGTAGTTCCCCATAATGTAATCGATTCTATGTAGCTTCTTCACAAAGCATTTCTAATTATGTATTTCTATTCCTCTGTTTTCCTATGAGAGGTATCTTGCATGCTATCTCACTAAGGGTCTAGAATTCAAAAGATCAACTGTGTACAATGTTTCAAAGCAACCCAGGTGATTACTTATAAATTCAACTTTCTTCTCCAAGAGACAAGGCTTTGCAGAGAGGGGAAATAGGAAGCGGTATAGCCAACAGGGGAAAAAGAACTAAACGTGAGAGCTCATACACCATGATACACACACTTAACTTCCATAAAGAGTAGGTTCTCAGGGCCTAGAAAGAAGGAATGTGCAGCCCCTGGAGTTTTGTTTCACATCTTACATGATTTCTGAGGTAATACCAGAACAAACACAATGAACCCTTCTTTCTTTCTTCCAGGAGGCTTTATGGGAACTAAGAAGCAAAACTAGTTTTTTTTGTTTGTTTGTTTTGTTTTTTTTGTGGAACCGGGGATTGAACTCAAGCCCTTGTGCTTGCCAGGCAAGCGCTTATTCTACTGAGCCATCTCCCTGGTCCCTAAAACTAGTTTATCTAATTTGGAATTAAATAGGTAACTAACTAAATGTCTTCAGCAGTGAATGGACAATGAAAATGCTCCATTTTTCATTCTGGTAAGTCAACATGGCTTAAGATAGAATTTTGCTTGAAAGTACCACTTCACTGACAAAAGTCATTTACAACCTTCAAATACAAAAAATGGAGCAGTGTCCCGAGGTCATCCCCAGGAGTCCTCACCATCAGTCATGCTCTGGTTTCTACGGCAGAACCAGAATGCAGGAGCTTGGCTAGGCTACCTCTCCTGGAACAGATGGGCTTGCTTCCCATGCTAGCTGCTGATCTTTATTAAAAGTGACCTTACATCTCAGTCCCCCAGGTGGTCAGGATGAGCCCCTCCCCTGAGGTAACACATGCACTTGTTTTCAACTCTAGACTCTGGAGAGCAATAAATCTTGTCACAAAAGGAGCTTTAAAAAAAAGGCTAAATTGAGACAGAAGCCAATTTCATGATATGCTATTTTTGCCTAGACATCCTTTCTTGATGAAATAGATATTCTGTGTAATCATTTTAGGATTTTAAACCCATCTACTTTTTTCTTAAAGCTAATAACCAACCATCTGGTTTCTGAGACATGTACCATTACTACCTGATGTATTCTGTGTCTTTTAGCATGTAATCATTATAGCAGGGAGCTACCAGTTTGCCTCTATGCAGTAAAATAAGGAAACGTAAGGCAACTGGTGGCACTGTGGGAAGTTCAATGCATTTAGTTTATGAAAAATATAATCTCTTCTTGACCTACATGAATATGGTATCTCAGAAAAATTATAACTTCATACAAAAATGCATAATACTGACTTTACAAAGAAGACAAGTTTTTCAAAGTACGACTTTTAACAACTAGAGCAATGGCCTGTGCAAGAAAAACAGATCTGAACAAAGGCCTTGCGACTGGCAGAGGTCTTGGCATCTTACCTGTCACTGTACACAGACCTCTCAAAGATCTGCATGGGCTTCTGGGCCTGTAAAAGTTTCTCAGGGAAGGGCTCCAGCTGTACTTTCAGGCGGCTCATAAAAGAGCATGTCTGGAATGTATAGGACCATCGAGCTGGCTCCTGGTACATCATGTCCAGCAAGTTTCCAAGACATTGGGTAGTTTGATCCTAGAGACGATAAGAAAAAGTGGAACTTTCCTATACGGTGTAGAGGAAATAAAAAAGTTTAATACTTAATACAAGAAGAAATGACAAATTTCCTTCCACTAAAAAAACACAACCAGATCTTCCTGCTTAACTGAAACCATAAAATCAAGGAAGAGCTTTTCCTACCTCATTAGACAATAATCTGATTGAGGAAGATGACATGCCACCTTCCACATAACAGAGAAGAGTAAAGGAAAAACTACACGTAGAATTAACACATTCATTGATAGATGGATTTGTGGAGTTTGTCAAGGGAGGAGTTAATGATCAATAATCATCTAAACGTCTACTTTGATCAAATTTTTCTACTGTAACAATATATTGCTTCTCTTTTGAGATTCCAATTGTGGGTATTTGTTTCTAAAACTTCAAAGTAGATAAGAAAGCAATTGTTTATTTGAAAATCCAACCAACCAGCCAGCCAGCCAGCCAGCCAACACAAAACCTTCTAGAGAGAAGGTCTCTAAAGAGAGTAAACTATAATTTGGAGAGTTTTACTTGCTTAGGTGGAAACTTCAGACTGCAGGTTCTTTTCTGGACTCTTTTCATTGACTTATTTCAAAATTCAGTTTTGTACAAAGCACTCTGTGCGTGTGCGTGTGGCCGGCTCAGCCTACCCTCCGGGCATGGCTGGCATGGCATGTGTTGCTGGGGATCAAACCGTGGTCCCTGTACCTGCTTAAGCTTGCGTAAGCATGTGCTTTAGACCACTGAGCTATCTCACTGGCCCCCTGTGCAAAATACTTTGGACCTGCGTTTATTCATGCAAAGCACTCTGGGCCTGAACTTATTCACTCAGTCATTATCAACTAAAGGTCGGCATGGGCTAGGGATATAAAAAAAGTAACATTTATGTCAATGCTCCCTATGCAATATTATTTAATTTTCAAAACAACTCCATGAGCAAAGGCTGTTATGTCCATTTTGCAGAGGGGAAAGTCTACTCAAAGGTTAAATAACTTACTTTCCCAAGACCTAATGGGGTTTAGGAAGTGCTGAATCTCTCTATTTCTTCATTTTAAAATGCCTCTCACTCAAGGCGAATAAGACATGGTTTCTGGACTTAAAGAACTCACCATGCAAATGGGAAGGTGAAGACTAAGATATAAATAGAATATAAGGCATATCACTTGATTACATGATAAAGGCCAATCCCATATGGTGGAGGGAATCTCAAAAGTTTCTTTTAAAAAGGCCTTAAACTGCAAAGCAAATGATGCATGAAATTTCCATAGATAGAAAGGAAGATCAAGGAGAGAGCATTTTGTTGGATGTGGTGCAGGACACTGGTAGTCCCAAGACTCAGGAGGCCAAGGCAAGAGTACTTCGTGTTTCAGGCCAGCTTAGGCTACACTATCAGTCCAAGGCCAGCATGAACTGTGCAGAGACTCTGCCTTAAAACAAAACAACAACAACAAAAAAGTGTTGGGGCTAGGGAGACAGCTCAGCAGTGTAAGTGCTTGCCTGGCAAGGGCAAGGACTGGGGTTCGATTTCCAGCACCACATGTTGTGCCACCATGCTGACCAGGACATGATGGCACATGCTTGTAATCCCACTGCTGGGGAGGCTGAGACAGGAGGATCACTATGAGTCTGAGCTGCATAGTGAGACCTTGTACCAAATAAAGAAATAAAAGACTTAAAAACAAAAGAAAACAAAACAGTGTTTCAGGTGACGATAAAGATACGGAGTAGGAGTGGAGTAAGGTTAAACAAGAAGCAGTTCAAGCTGGTTATAAAACATTCTTGGAATACACAGAAGGATCCCAGCTCTCTGAAAGGCTTCAGTTAAGCAATGGGTATAGAGGTGAGTGGAACTAAAAGCTCTTTAACTCACAGGTGTGTTCAGAATTTGTCACCTTCCAAAGCTTCAATGCACAAACACAAACTATGCTCACAAATGGCTCCTAAGAGCTGCAGGTTGGGAGCAGGGGGAGAACAGGAATTTCAAGTCTCTGATGGTATATGTCCCCAGGGACTACAACAGCAACCCCTGCTCTGCCATAGAGTTCACATCCCAGGAGGTGTGGTAGGTAGACTAGGTGTGGGTAATTGTACCAGTGGGTTTTTGGGGTACCATAGGGAGAATGTCCTGGAAGAAAAATCACTTACATAATTTCTTTAAAAAATTCATCTCAGCTACAGACCAAATGCAAAATCTCTCCAAATGCATAAACAAATAAAAGGATAATAATTGGATGTAAAAATATTCTGCAGGCTGGGAAGATAGCTCAGTGGTCTAAGTGTGTGCCTTGCAAGTGCAAGGATCTGGGTTCAATTCCTAACACCACATGATGTGCTGGCCACCAAAACTAGGCATGGCGGTGTATGCCTATAATCCCAGCACTGGGGAGGCTCAGCAGGAGGATCACTATGAGACCGAGCTGCATATTAAGACTCTATAAAATAAATAAATAAATAAATAAATAAATGATTTTTTAAAAATTAAAGGGAAAAAAGAAACTGTTTCAAAAATATTCTACAATTTAAAAGGAGAGAGGACCAATTTGTGGGCTTAGGCACACAGGAAGCAAATAAGAAAGATCTCAATGGAATTCAAATAAGAATAAGTAGTCATAAACC